CAACTGAAGCACATTGTCACTAAAAATACAGCTATCTTAGAGGGCAGTGGGGAGGTTTTCCCACAGGGACTGTCCATCTCAACCTGAGGTACCCATCAGTAACAGAAGAGGGACCTAGGATTTCTTATCGGTACTGAAACTGACCTGCCCTCTTGAAATATGCCCTAAATGGAAGCTGTCACATGTTCAGAGTTCTAGAAATAGGCTCAAGTTACTCAAGGGCCCTGGACACATCACCCTTAGCTCTTGTTAGGCCCCTCCCTGCTGCAGGACATGGCTGGCATAGCCCACCCTCTCCCTAGGGCTGAGGCTTCCCTTTCCCAGGGCCCTTCATTACAGAATCCAGACATGTCCGTTCCTCCGGCCTTTTGCTCCCTTTGCCCCCTCTGCCCCCTTTGCCATGGCCCTTCCCTCTCTCTCTCTCTCTTTCTCTTTGCCCCTTCCTCTACCCTTCTCTCTCCCTCTCCTCTCTCCCCTCCCCTCTTGCTGCTCTCACTTTTCCCTTCTCTCTCCCCCTCCTCTCTCTCCTCCCCTCTTGCTCCTCTCACTTTTCCCTTCTCTCTCCCCCTCCCCCTCCCACAGCCCCAATACCCTGCATTAATATGATACAGCTTTGTCTTGCCATTAGCTCATTCTGATATTTAATCGATCAGCTCTCAGAGCACAGGCTCCCATCAGGCCACAACTCTCCTTCCCACTGCTCCTTCCTAATCACTGAGGATCTGCTTGGCATGGGGCAGTGGCTCAGACAAAATGTAAACTGAATACAGCTATGAAATGCCACTCCCACCTCCAATCCTTCTCAGACTGAGGTAACACATACTAATTTAAGAAGCTTTCCAGCATAAGCTGACAGAATTAGACACTATCTGAACCAGGCAACTGTGGAAAACTCAACTATATGCAATGCTCGAACTCAATTTTGTGGCCAGAACATGATTACGTAGACTTTAAAAGAAATCCATGCCTTCCGGGTGAAGGAGGCCAAGCGCCCAGACAGGGTGGGAACCAGGACCTGAGTGTCACATGACCCAAATGACGCCACCGTGTAGCCCTCCACAGGAGCCACCAGGAGCAAACGTGGGAGACGGGAGATGGTGCCTCAGACCATCCACAGCAGCTATTTTCTGTTGGGAAGTCTTAGCCAAGACTTGGCCACTGACACGGTGCTGAGACAGAACCGAGGACAGGTGTCAGTAGTGACAAGTGTCAGACACGGATGAAGATGAGGAGCAGAGGCCTGCCAGCGTGACTGAAAGCTGCAGGGCAGGTCCAGGCCTGCAGCTGGGCCTAAAACTGGCAGGAGGGAGCATGGGTGCTGTCCCCTGGGTCTCTGGTCCTTAGCCCAGCCGTGGGTGCACAAGCTTCCTGGAACTAAATCCACATTGGCCTTTTCAAAAAGCACTTTGGTGAGGACCGCTTTGGAGGAGCCAAGGCAGTGAGACGTCAGCCACGTGTCACCAAGGTTAGGACTTCAAGATTTTCAGTGGAGAACACCAGCTGGAGAACTCGAAATAATTGGACCTCGTCTATAAGATAACTTGGCCTTGACAAGGGCCAGCACAAACACCTGTGATATTCCCACCATTTGTGAAGCCCTCCCGTGGGAAGCTCGGCCGGTGCCTGTGGCTCATCCCAACCCACATGGCTCCTGGGCAGCCAATGCCATCCCAAGGCCTTGTCAGCCAAATTCCTGAAGCCCACAGCAGTCCCCACACCCGTCGCTCATCTCACTTACGTACCCCACACATCAGTTCTCACCCGGCTGTCCCTAAGCAGCAAATCTCTTTTGGAGCCGCTGCCACACACAGCTCGGGCTGCTGCACCTGTTGGTCCCTGAACACTGAATTCAGTGAGTTTCTCCCCAGCGCTGGGCTCTGAGTTCCCAGTTCTACTTCACTAACACCCAAATGCCATTTCCCCGGGGGGGCTCATGGGAGGCCATATGTGGGCGTTGGTCATCACTGAAGACCAAGGAGGAAGGACTCTTTTCTGAGCAGGAGCATGAATGTGACTTGTCCCTGAATTCATGGTGAATCACAGAGGCCTGCACTGAGTCTTCCCACCACGTCTGGTCCTCCCGGCCCTCTCAGCGTCCGGCCCACAGCAGTTAGGATGGGGGAAACAGCCGGCTCCTCACAGCTACGATCTCGGTGCGCACCGTCCTTCTCACGCCTATGAACCTGGTGCGTAGCACAATTCCTGGCACCTGACTGGAGCTCAGATAAGAAGCAACAAAACTCGTGTGAGCAGAGCCAGCACTCACATTCTCCTCCTGGGACGCGGCGAGCTTGCCAGTGTCTTCATTGCCCTCTTTCTGTGCCTCATTTTCTCCACTTTCTTCAGCCTTCTCTGTTCCCTGCTAAGAAAAGAAACTCACCATATCACTCACCTTCAGTAAGTTCCCAGGGAGAAAGCAGGCCACCTGCCATGGCTCTCCTGCTTCCATCAGGGCAGGTAAGTGAAGGCAGCAGAAACCTCTGCACAGGTCATTTAGATACTGACACAAGCTCCCAAACCTCCAGACTGCTGACAGATGACTGCATGCTGCAGCTGACACACTGACTGCATGCTGCATCCATAAAGAGTTGAGTGTAGGATGTTGATTCATCCACTTAAGGCTGGTAGAGGTGACAGATGCATAGATGTATGGATAGGAACAAATATGGTAGACAAATGGGTAACCTGGGCAATGGATGGATGGATGAATGGGTGGGTGGATGGATGGAATATATATATAAGAGACAGATGATACATAATGATGATGATGATAAGTAGGTGCATAGATACAAAAACACAAGATAGATGATAGATAGATAGATAGATAGATAGATAGATAGATAGATGACAGATATAGATGATAGATAAATAGAAAGATGATAGATATAGATGATAGGTAGATATAGATGATAGAGAAATAGATATAGATAATAGATAGATGATAGATAGATAGATAGATAGATAGATAGATAGATAGATAGACAGATAGATGATAGACAGATAGATTATAGATATAGATGATAGGTAGATAGATGATAGATAGATAGATAGATAGATAGATAGATGACAGATATAGATGATAGATAAATAGAAAGATGATAGATATAGATGATAGGTAGATATAGATGATAGAGAAATAGATATAGATAATAGACAGATGATAGATAGATAGATAGATAGATATAAATGATAGATAGATAGATAGATAGATAGATAGATATAGATGATAGATAGGCAGATAGATGATAGACAGATAGATTATAGATATAGATGATAGGTAGATAGATGATAGATAGATTATAGATATAGATGATAGGTATATAGATAGATGATAGACAGATAGATGATAGAGAGGTAGATAGATACATAGATACATAGACAGATAATAGGTAGATAGATGATAGACAAACAGACAGATGATAGTAGATAGATAGATAGATAGATAGAAGATAAATAATGATAGATAAATAGGTAGATAGAGATTATAGATAGATGACATATAGATAATGATAGATGATTGATTGATAGAGGATAGATAATTGCTAGAGAGATAAATTATTGATAGATGACAGATGACAGATAGATATTGATGGTAGACAATATAGATAAAAACAAAGAAATGTCAGGACCATCAGCACCCCTAGGACACTGGCAGCACAGCCCTTACCTCTGCAGTGCCCTCCGTCTCTCCTGCCACATCTCCGTTGGGAACGGAAGACGCTTCCTCAGACTTCATCACCTACACCAAAGGTTGAAAATTCTCTTGAGGACATAACTCTCATAACTGAATTACTCTTGTTTTCAGCCTTCATTATAATCACAGCAACAGTGGTGCCCAAGAGAGACAAACTCATTGCCACCCCACAGTAGTAGCAAGAACATAAAAGCGGAGGCTGGGGGCCGCTCAGGGAGCAAGAGCACTATTGCTCTTGCAGAGGACACAGGCTTCAGTCTCCAGCACCCCCGTGGCGGCTCATGACCATCAGTAACTCAGGAGATCCAACACCATCTTCTGGCCTCTGCAGGTACCTAGCACGTACTTGATAGATGGACATACGTGCAGGCAAAACACACGTCACTTAAAATAATTTTAGGAACGTGAGAAAGCATCATAACACAAGCTTAGAGCAGAGTCACATCCTCACCCCATGAGATGGTCTTAACTTATGAAATGGTCCCCAACTTTCTAAAACATCAGGTTATTTTCATGACAAACACCCTTCAAACTCATACCCTCTGTTCCCACCCCTGTATGACAAATAATATTTGATATTTGATATATACCTAACTCCACTCTGATACATATTAGCTATTGGGGGAATTTGTTGTTCTCCTGTTTTGTGGACTTTGACAAAACAAGGACATGCTATGGCTCATGACTTTTAGCTTAATACATCATGAACAGTCGTCCAGGTGAAGTCATACATTCTAACTCATTCTTTGTAGCATTTGCTAAATATTAAGCATATGTCAACTTATTCAAACATATTCTAAATGACAGATAGTCAATGTGTTCCCATGTTTGTGACTCTATGACTAATAGTATGATATGGTAAATAAAATAGTGTGGATATTTTTATCAGAATTATTTCCAAAAAGATGGGAGAGATTTATATCCCTCCATAATATATGAACACCCCACTTTTCTTTAGCCCTGTGACCAATTAACAGAGTTGCACTTTTTAATGATTGTGTATTCATTGGGAGTGGAGTTCCATCTTTGTCATTATTTACATCTCCTGGGTTACTAGAAAGGAAGGGCATACTTTTAATCACTTGCATTTTCTATTCAGATAACTTCATCTGATAACTTCATCTGTTCCCATATCTAAGGGAACAGCAAATATCAAAAAGCCAGCAGAGCTGCTTGACAAAGCGCCAGCAAAGCTGAGCCAAGTGACACAATCTCTGTGGTGCAGTCTTCCATTCTTTTGGTCTTGATCTCAACATGTAGCATGCTTGGAGGGCTTTTATTATTTGTACAACTTGGGGATATAGGATTGATGGAAATTTTCTTATGAATCATACATACCCTCTCCCAAGAGCACTGCTTCTAAGCTTCCCCAGAGGTGTCCTGACCGTACTACCCCTCCCAATTTTAGGGATATATTCTTATCTTATCCTTGCCCTACTTGAAGGTCTTCCTTATGCCCTGGAGGTTGTTACTCAAATAAATATGCTGGAGACCTCCTTATGGAGCTCTGACTCAAAGATACTCTTGGCACATCTGCTCCTGTACCTACTCAGGAACAAAATAGTCAAAACAAAATAAACTTTAAAAGGTAAACAATATTCGGTGGGCTAGAGAAGTTAGCAGCAGATCAAACTGAAAGCCTCTTCATAATATTGATGGACAAAGAATGGTATGGATAAATGATAAAAGAATGAACTGTTAAGATCTCTCTTTCTTAGAAAAAGTTAACTCATAGAGAGCCCCTGTGGTGTTGTATGACCAAGGAGGAAAAAATACCAAGATCAGATGTATAAGTAAATTCTATAAATACACAAAATATAAACACTGTGTTATGGCAGAGATTGGATAGTAACTGCAGCAGCTTTGGCCTGAAGGCTTTCCCTGGTCTAATGACAACTACCATTCTGACTATTAAAAGCTGATAATACACTGCTTGGGGCATGACAATCTGCTCAGGCTGGCTTGGATGTTTTCTTTCTGTTTAGTGCCCTTGAAACGCAAGAGCTACCAGCCTCAGAACAGGCTTTCATGCTTTGGCAAAACATGCCCATGAAACCAATATTGTTAAAAGTTGGGTTGTGGGGTTGATGAGGGAAATTGACTGTAAAAGATAACTCTTTTCTGTCATGGTTTATCAATGATGACTAAACTTATGACCAAGCAGAAGTTAAAACACGTGTCAAAAATGATATCTATGTTTTGGAAGAAAATGATATAATCTATGTTTTAGAAGAACATGCATCTGTCCATGCCTACCAAGTTCTGTAAGAATAAAGAAGCGCCCAGACGGCCAGGATGTAAAGCTCCTCCCCATCCTTGTGCCTGACTCACTCTTTCCTTGCAGCTCTGTGTTCACCCTTCTTCAGGCTCTGACCTCACCTGGGGCTGAACCCCGGCATCTTGGCCATTTTAAAGCCTTAAGTTATTTCTAAAGATTTCGGATGGCTTTTTAAGAGAGGTCTCACTACATAGCCCAGCTGACCTTGAACTCACAGTTCTCCAGCCTCAGCCCCCGAGTGCTAGAATCACAGGTGACCACAGCAGCTCAAGAATCACAGCACAGCATAACTAGTCGTCCTTCTTCACATTACATAATACTGTTCTAATTTAAATTTTTTAAATAGTTATATGAATTTTAGTCTTTTATAAAGATGAATTTACCTAAGTTTTCTATAAAATATTTTAGTAGTTCTGTGCATTCATAGTTATTAATATCTAGACTTTTAATTCATCTATAATTCAATTTTATATATGATATGAAATAACAGGTTGGGGCTGGGGTTGCAGAACATAAAGGAGCATTTGCCCATATAAATGGAGCCTAGGTTCACACATTTTGGCTTTTTTAGCTTTAAAGACAAGGCCCATGTGGTCTGACTGAGAAATGGCCCCGTAGACTCATGTGCTTGAACTTGGAGGTTGCGGCACCTTTAAAGGGTGGAACTTTGCTGGAGGAAGTGTGTCACTAGGGCGGGCTTTGGGGGGTTACCGGTGTTGCGCCATGTCCTGTTCTTTCTCTGTATTTTCTGTGGATGAAAATGTGATCAGCCAACTGCAGCCATGCTTCCCCACCATGATGGACTCTGGGACCTTTCTTCCTTAGGTTGTTTTTAGTCAAGGTGTTTTATCAGAGCCACAGAAAAATAGCTAACACAGGCCAAAGTGTTCTCTTCTTCTCTATGCCTGTCTTTCAGTGTGCCTATCCCAGTCTTTGCTATGATGAGCCTTCACAGCCAGGCCTTCTCTCCAGCCAGAGTACACCTGCTGTAAATCACCTGCCACAGCCATAGGATGAGTTTCCATTGAGATACAGTCCTGAAAGCTTTGTCATGCCAGCAGCTGCTTGACCACACAGAAAGGACATTGCTATTCAAAGCCCCCCTTTTCAAAAACATGTTGGCTCTTCTCAGACATGTGTTATCCAGTTAGCTGCACAGTCATTTTTCTAGTCCGGGAAGTTAAAAAAATGGGATATTGGTGAAATGAGCACTAAATGGTTTCATTAATTTAGAAAGAATTAATTTGTTGTTGTTTATTCATCCAAGTAAATTTTAGATCTGTCTCTTTGGCGTTTGCTAGAACCCTTTAAAGTAAAGTTACTCTCCTTGTCAAGGTCTGAGTGGTTTCTTGTGATCTCTTACCACTGTGAATGAGACATTTTCTTTTCACAATTTAACTTGACAAATTAACAGTATAAGTAAAAGCTACAGAGTTATATATTTTTCATCCCAAAACTCTAACTATTGCTAATTTTTATGGTTTTATAGAAGTTTATTTATATAACATGGAGGGCAGGATGCAGGAAAACCACTCCAGTCAGCGCCAGGCCACTTGTGGAGCTGGAACACACCACCTGGGGATGTGGCCCTCACAGCCACACCTGCCTTTGGGGGGCACTTGGGCCTTGCTTTCCTTCCTCAGACCAGCCCTCTTTATGTCCACCTTTTGGACAGCACCTGGCGTTCCTGCACTCATGAGACAAGAGGCCGTGTGGAGGGTGTGAACATCTCCCCCAGCATCGATGCCAAGGCCCTCGCTCTTCCTGGAACCCTGCAGCACACAGCAGAGCGTGCCTTCCACATGTTTGTGCGCCTTTGTCTTTTGTTTCCTGTTAATGCACTTCTCTCTCTGACCCGAACTACAGCGTGATGCTCAGTGCTGTTCGTGTCTTTGTTGCTCCTCTAGTTTCGAACTGGAAAACTCCAGAACACCTTTACAAGGTTGGTTTCCTGTCTTCAACAGCTCTCTTGACATGCCTCTGTCTTCTGACCCTCCCTCTCAATGCTTTCACTCATCGCACCTGGACCTGGTAGTGTGGTCACTTCCCTAGGTGGCTGGCATTTACTTAAACATGTTGACATTTGTCACAGCTTGATCACCATTACAGAAATTATATCGAAACTTGTCGTTGAAAGTTACTTTGGGCTGTAAGTCATGTTATCTCAGAATGATGCTCCTGGCATTGGGCAGCTTCAAGTAGAGAATCCTAAATTCAAAGCCAACCTAATCTACAGTCTCAAAGCAAAACTAAACCCTGAGACGTCGGTTCTGTCTTATTCCTTAAACAGACATTCTCCCAAGAGAAAACCATGACAGAGGTCTTGATGTTGGTGCAGCTGTTGAGACTGTTAGGATGTCACGAGGTGACTCCTGAGGACAGTGCCCACGGGGACGCACAAATGCTGACTTGGAAGAACCACACTCCGACAGTGTGCTGCAAATGTGGCACTGTGACACTGCAGTGACATCTGATAATTAGGAAGAAACTCCAACTGCACACACAGTTGGACATTGTCCATTGATCCTTATTAAAATCAAACATAGAAGATTTTATGGATGAGCTGAAGAGATGGCTCAGCAGTTAAGAGCCCGCGCTGCTCCTTATTTTACAGGTAGTTTCTTTCTAAGGGAGGAATGAGATAGACTTTCCACTAAAATCAATCAGTACCTCTCCGGAACAGAAGGCAGAACCCCAAGTCGGGCACAGCCTCCTACCAGCCCCACAGCCCCTCCCCCCACCCCAGCAACTGCTGCTCCTCTCTGGCTAGGATGCTGCCAACTCTGGAAGCGCATCCTCCTCTTCTCCTTCTCCTGTGTATTCCTTTCCTCTGCTTGCAATCCATGCACACACTCGTGGCCTGAGCATCTCGACCAAAAAGATGGACCTTGCACACTAATGTGTGTGTGTGTGTGTGTGTGTGTGTGTGTGCATGTGTGTAGAGGCCAGAGGTCAATGTCTCAATCACTCTTCTTTATTTTTTCTTTCTTTCGTTGTTTCTTTCTTTTCTCTCTCGCTCTCTCTTTCCTTTCTTTCTTTCTTTCTTTCTTCTTTCCTTCTTTTCCTTCTTTACTTCTTTCTTTCTTCCTTTCTTTCTTTTTCTTCCTTCCTAGACCGGGACTCTCACTGAACATGAATGTCACCACTGACGAAGCTGGCTGGCCAGTGAGTTGTACAAATTTACCTGTCTCCCCACCCCACTCCTGTGCTCAGATTGCACCACACCTGGCTTTGTCATAGGCACTTGGGATCAGACTCTGGCTGTCATACTTGTGTAGCCAATGTTTTACTCACAGGGCGTTTGACTTCACAAGGCATCCAGGCTTACCTTTGACCCAGGAGGGGGAGCCAAACCAAGGAATGAATAAATAATATTTTCTTCTTTTGCAGAGAAGAAAGAGTCAAAATCCTTGAAGCAAAGACAGAGAACATTTAAACACATTATACAGTGGGAGCTAGAATAAGCCCCGAGCTCAGTCCCCTTATCTATCAGCCACATCCTCTCAGCCTGCTTTGTCAACTGATAACTAAGCATACAACTGTAAGTAAAGCTGTTAATTTTACATTTGTTTTTATACGTTGTCATTGTACCTGCGTAGCATAAGAACACACACACAGGAAACAGGAAAGGCTGCAGAGGGCGGGGACATGGTCAGGCACAGGTGAACAGCGCCTGTGATGTACACAAGCCTTCTCCCCACCTGCTGGGTTTGCACCCTGTCCTTCCCAGCTTCCCTGAGTACCAGGGACACTCACCTCCACATTAATAAAGATGCTCACAAGCAAGTCTTCTTTGGTTGTGCCCAAGCCCTGGCCTCCCAGCCTGTGTTGCCCTTCTCTGATATTTGCCTGCCATGGATCTGGACATGCTCATCTGCTCTACACAGCAGGTGCTCAGGACTCCCAGCCACCTGACACCCCACCTCCCGGTGCTTGCCCTGCCCCCACAGCTGCCACCGGCACAGGACTCAGGGCTCACCGAGAATCCACAGGAAACATTAAGAACACTTGAATGGCCACTATTTTTACAATCCACACTCTACTCATGGGGAAGGACTCAGCAACAGTGTCTTAGTTAGAGTCTCTATGGCTGTGATGACTGCCGTGACCACAGCTACTTCAGGAGGAAAAATTTATTTCTGCTTCCACTTTCATCCATTAGAGTAAATAAGGGCAGGAACCTGGGCATGGGAGCTGAGGCAGAGGCCATGCAGGTACTGCTCACTGGCTTGCTCCCCATGGCTGCTTTCTTATAGAGCCCAGGACACCAGGCCAGGGATGCCCCCACACCCAGTGGGCTGGACCCACTCACATCAGTCTGGTGGGGTCTTTTCTTAATTGCGGTTCCCTCTTCCCAGATGACTCTAACCTGACTCAAGCTGACACAAAACTAGCCATCACAGACACTTTGGTTCATGCCATTTTATCTTTACTTCATGTGTGCTTTGGCTGCATGTGTCTGCGCACTGTGTGTGCTGGTGCCTGTGGAGGCCGGAAGAGGGTGTCAGATCCCCTGGAACTGGAGCTACAGCTGGCTGTGAGCTACCATCAAGGTACCAGGACCAAAACCCAGGTCCTATGCAAGAATGGCAACTGCTGAGCCATCTCTCCAGCCAGCCTAATGTCTTTAAGGGTTTCAGAAAGCAGCATTGACAGATGATTTCCTAAAATAATAATGGAAAAGGTATGTAGTAAGATGGATGTCACCCTCTGGCCCCTGTACAGACACAGAACAAGAAGCCGCCAACACTGGTCACCTCCAAGCAGGACCAGCTACACAGTGTCTAAGGCCAGAGCACAGTAAGACCCACCAGGCCCTCGGCTTAACCGTGGCTGAAAATTCACACCCAGCAGCAGAGAATTAGACCGAGCACAGAGCTCTCCTGAGCTAGAGGCCCCTTAACATGCAGATGGCAGCTTGGAGCCGGCCTGGCTCAGGCAACTGTAGCTACAATTGTGAGCAGGGACTGGGAGGAGAGTGACCCACACTGACCACCCTTTGAGACCATGTCATCTGCCAGTGTGTGCAAGAACAAAGTTTTCTAATCTTTCTCACACTGAAAGAAACCTGGGTGCTGGAGATGGCTCAGCAGTTAAGCGTGCTCGCTGCTCTCACACAGGACCTGAGTTTACTTCCCAGCACCCACATGGGGCGGCTCTCAGCCCCTGTCCAGCTTCGAGGGATCTGATGCCCTCTTCTTGCCTCTGTAGGAACTGCATACAAGCACACACGCACACTGATAAGCTTCTATTTAATTTATAAAGACCTATTACAGAAAAACCAAAAGCAGAAGTCCTTGCCACCGGGCTCCGTCCTGCCTTACGCCTCAAGGAGAGGAGGGCGCAGGTGGAGACGGACGAGTCCTTGCCTTTTCCGTTCTGATCACAGCATTTCCTGAGGGGGTTGTGTGTGCCGAGGTGCGTGTGTGGAGGTCAGCAGACAGCTTCCCGGAGTGGGATCCGAGAGGCGCTCAGGCTGATCTGCTTTATACAGTTCTGACAAACGGGCTGACGGGATGGATAGAGTGCCTGCCGCGCAGGCGTGAGGCTCGCGCAGGCCTGAGGCCCGGAGCTCCTCCCCCGGGAGGGCAGGGGCGCTCTGCCTGGCTGACTCAGCAGCTCAGGTGCGGAGCCCGCCTCAGGAACAAAGCAGACCGTGACTGAAGAGGACAGCGGCGTCGAGGTCTGTCCTACATGCGCGCGCACACACGGACACACACATGCAAACCGCACACTTAACTCTGCGAAGTGCGCAGCGCAACGGCCGCAGCCCGGAGCGCTCACCCCGCAGTACTGCTCCTCGTTGAAGATCTGAGGAGGCAGGGGAATCCCGTTCTGAGGCTTCTTCTCCCCGGGGACGTTCTCCCGCATCCACTTCCGGTTGTCCTCATCCCCAGCTATGTCCAGCTCCTTAAAGTCTATTTTATTGGCCTCCAGAAAGCCGACCACTTCTTGCTGCTTTTTCCTAATCTGGTTAAGGGCGGAGAAAACCAACCATTGCTGCTTTAGACTGCTCCAGCCGTTTCTGGAGCACGCTTTGTTCACATTTACACAACCCCAGTTCTTTCCTGTGCTGTACTGCACAGCACAAAGAAAACAACCACCACACCTTTCCTCTGGAAAGCAGCCGCAGGGGCGAGGGAGCAGTGGGTCGTGGCACACGTGGGTGCGTGACGCAGGACCAAGCACAGTTCTCCGCTCGTGCCCCCAAGAAAGGACACAGGAGGGGGCCTCGTGGGCTCACGGGGGATCACCTAGAACAGGCCCCGCGGGCCGACCGCTGACCGCTGCACCTGGGGGCCTGGGAGGAGGCAGGCCCGAGAGTGACCCAGGAGGAGGCAGGAGGGCTCGGATGCTCCCATCGGGCCCTGGGTCCACTCTCGCGGTAGCCTCCAGAGCTGGCCCACGTGAGCCCTCAGAGGGCTCCCCCTACGAAGGGAAGAGGTGTGCACACGGCACCGAAGCAGGCCTCAGGACGGCACACCTTCCCAGGTCCTCGCTCTGTCCTCAGGAGGCCACAAGGCCTGTGTTCCCACGCTGCCCTGCTGTGTCTAAGGACCTGGAGCCCCTGGCGGGAGCTGCTGCTGGCACCTTTGGCAACCTCAGCGGAGCCCAGGAGAGCTCTTTCCCTGCCCCGCGCCTTTGTGCACAGTGGCCTCTGCCTCAGTCCTGAAGTTACCCAGCTGCTGCTGGCCACTCCGGAGTGTCTGAGAATCTGCAGCCACGCCGTCCCAGGGCTTTGCTTGACACCTCATGTACACTGTCTGAACAGTGAGGAGACCTTCCATCTGAGGTCACCATGTCGTGGTTTGACGCCTGTGGGACAGGAGTCGCGGTGACTGCTGGGAGCAAGGGCAGGCTGCGTTGGCAGAAGCAAGCAAGCGAGCTTCCCATAGGCAGCACAGCTGACGAATGGGTGTGTCCCTGGTACCCGCAAAGCTACACTGCCTTGCCATGCTCAGCCATCTAGCCTGCAGACACCTTACTGCTTACTGCTTCGCTCTGTTGGGCAGATTTCCTGCAGATTATTTTGAAGATCTATCTTCATAGTGCTGTTTAAACGGATTAATGATTTCATAACCCCTGGTGATGATTTTAAAGAATTTCTGACTTGATTCAAGTAATTTTAAAACCCTCCTGCAGTATAGCAAAAACTGCTAGGAGCTCTGTGGACTTGACTTATACCAGAAGGGAAAACAAGAGTCAAACAAATTAATGATCAAGGCAATACATTCATTCTAGGTTTAGTCCAGGAATAAGGCCCAGGTGTACACCATAATAAGAAAGATCATACAAATACAAAAACAAAGACAAAAATAAAAACAAGGAATAAATGGTTAGTTATATAAGACAAAACAGACACTTGTTTCTTAGAAAAAAACTTGACATAAAAACTATCTTTTGGGCCACACCTGTAATCCCAGCACTCTGAGAGGCAGAGGCAGGCAGATTTCTTTGAGTTCGAGGCCAGCCTGGTCTACAAAGTGAGTCCAGGACAGCCAAGGCTACGCAGAGAAACCCTGTCTTGAAAAACAACAATAACAAAAAAAAAAAAAAAACTATCCTTTGAACACAAAATGTATGAAATAAATAAAATAAAACTTCTACTTTAAACTCACAATGAGCATATAGATAAAACCACTGCTTTAAACTTATAATGAGCAAAAATGTCTAGTTCTAATGAAGGAACTTACAATCAATCTTCCTACTGCAACTCTCCTTTTGTGTAACAATTGTATCTATTTTTGAATGAGGTAACTTTTTCACACATAGAGAACCTTTGTCTTAAAGGATATGAAAACCCAGGACAGAAATAAGCATGTGTGGAAGCCCACTGGGATTCATTTCATCCACCAGTTGTATATACGTATTTATGTATATATTATCTATATGTCAGATTGTCTGCATGCTTGTATGTCTATGTTTTTATGTGTGTGTATGTGTATATGTGTGCATGTATGTGTGTGTGAAATTCTGAAGCTTCTTAGAACTTGTTGTTGAAGTCCCCTGCTTCATCCAAAAGTGTCCGTCTGTCTGATTGTCTATGCTTTCAAGTATGTATGTGTGAGTTCACATGTCTGTGCGCTAGTCCACTCTTAGGTTGCTTAGCCACCTGTGATGTCATCATTGGTCGCTGCTGCCAGGGGCCAGGGTGAAAGGACCTGCCTCTTTGCTCTCTCTCCTCTTCGCTCTCTCTCCTCTTCACTCTCTCTCCTCTTCACTCCCTCTCTCCTCTCTTGCTCTCTCCCGTTCTTTGTTGGGTGCCCCCACCCCTGACTCTGTCTCCCTCTCTCTCTGTCTGTCTCTCTGTCTCTCTGCTCTCATGGCCCACTTAGGCCCTAACTCTCTTCTGCTTCCCTTCCCTCAAATAAATTCTTTCATAACATCTGTAGTGTGCATGGCATTTTTATATAAGCATTAACAGTATGTGTGTACATGTGTGTGAGAGAGAGAGATTGTGAAGTCTGTTAGAACTTGTTTGGTCCACTTCTCCACTTTTATGAATATGTGTGTGTATGTTTTGATCCTCCACCCCGACCCTCCTTTTTAGCCAGCCACAAGAAATCAGTGGGCCCTGAACTGTTGCTGCAGATCCCGAGATAAGCAGTCTAAGTGGTTTTGGGGGGGCCTTTTAGGTCTCCAGCCGGTCTGTAGACCAGGCTGGCCTCAGACTCACAGAGCTCTGCCTGCCTCTGCCTCCTGAGTTTGAGGATCACAGGTGTGTGTCACCACACCCAGCTTCAAGTTCTCATTCTTTATGATGAGACAGAAACTCTTCCAGTTACGCATTTTGGAAATTCTAATATGTACTAGCCCTACTAAAAATACTTGCTAACAATCACAGTAATTACTAGCAGTGGCAACTCTAATGTTCATAGATATCAACTAATAAAAATTTTAATAAAAATTAAAACGGCCGCTAACACTAACAAACAGCCGGCAGTGACTATGATTAATAATCACAGAACTTTCCATGCCTAGTCAGGCCCTGGCACGGTGCTGGGCACCCGAGTGTGATAGCTCAGGAGTCCTCGTGACCAAGCTATGAGGCGGACACTATTCTTATCCTCATTTTACAGACAAGGAAATTGAGGCTTAGCAAGGAGAAATGCCTCCTCCAAGGTCACACAGTTACAAATGGCACTGAACCATCGGTCCAGGGGGTCACTACTAACTCAGCCATTCTGAGACCCTGAGTGAAGGGTCAATAAACAAACAAAAGAACTCTGTGGATTCAGTCCTGTTGCCTGAAGAATACAAACAGCCACAGAGGACAGAAGAAAGACTGAGCTGGAGACAGACAGCTCAGCAGTTGACAGCCCTGGCTGCTCTTGCAGAGAACCTGGTTTTAGTTCCCAGCACCCGCATGGCGGCTCACAACCGTCTGTAACTCCAGGCCCAGCGCCTCTGACACCTCTTCTGGACTCTCTGGCATCAGGCACACATGTGGTATGCAGACATACACGTAGGCAAAATATACATGCACCTAAAACTGAAAGTCAACAAATGACTGTTAAAAGTTCTCAACAATGAGCACTAACATTTAAAATCCACTTCAAAAAAGGCCTGCCAAAGCAATATCCTTGAAAAATTAGTTTCAATCTAAAAAAAAAAAAAAAAGAAAACATGCATTCTCAGGGTGCAGCACATTAGCATGTTAGCATGCTTGAGCAGCATGTGCAAGGCCCCAGGTGTGAACCAGAACTGTAGAAACAAGGATGCACCCATCATATCTGTCAAAGCCAAATCCACTGTCATCCACAGCCATGAAAGATCTATGTTTGCAATCTCTGTTTGGAATTCTCCATTGAGATGTGTGCTCCTCTCTCTCCTATTCCCCAGTTTGAGTTGGCTGCACCCTGCAGAATGGACAGAATCACAGAACCCACCACGGATGGGGCGTGGGACTGCAGACTTTTTGTTTTCTGCCCACCCTCTCTGGAAACTATCCTGAATGTTCAGGGTTGGGATTGGTGACCCTCAGCAGGCTGGGGCTGGGCCTGGGGCCTATCCAGGACCTGGAAATATGTCTGCGGCAACCTGAGACCCTCTAGGAAGCGGCCATAAAAGGAAGCAGCCCCTCTCTGGTCTCTGATTCTGGATTAATAAGCTGTTTTCTTCCTCCCTCCAGGCAGATACTACGGTCTCCAAGGTCTCGTTCCCAGAACTGAGTCCCTAGTGGCTAACTTCTTCACAGGCATGTCTCAGAGCCAAGGCCACAGTCAGAAGGCAGTGCGCTCCAGCAACCCAGCCAAAGCCCTGTGATGGAGCTGGCCTTTCAGCTCGCACCCCAGGTGGCCTCAGATAGGTTTGCTATTGTCACTGTGACATCATTTTCCACAAATAATAGCATCACACCCGCTATCTTTACGCCTCCAGCGCTTTCCAATAGAGGAGGAACTGTGGCCTGAGGTCATTTTGGTGATCTGCGTCTTCTCTCCCTGCCCTGTCTTCTGTCTACACGTTTCAGTCTGAGCCCTGGGGAATGAATGGCAAAGCACTCAAAGGCAAATGGGTAATGCCACACCTCACTACAACAGGACAAAACGCACTGGTTTAAAAAAAAAAAAAAAAAAAAAAAAACAGCGTAAAACAGTCCTCCACCCTGGGCCACCTTCCACGCCCACCTGACAGAGCGCAGGCGTCACACACTTTCCAAAGCGTGTGACAACCGCAGAAAGTGTGTGCAGGTGACCCAAAACAAAACCAACGCTCAAGGCCAGACCCGGGCACAGCCCCTCCGTCCACCTCCCTCTAGGACTGTCCAGAAGACCGCGCGGGCGGAAAGTCCACAGAGCCCCAGACACCTACCGCTATGGACCCAGACGATGTGGCAACGAACACTTTGATAACCATTTCGACGTCGGAAAGAGGGCTCCCCTAACACACCCCTGCTGGGGAAGTCTCTGGACGGATCCCGCGGTCCAGGGCGGCCAGCCAGGCCTCTGCCCCCGCCCTCCCTCCGAGGCCAGGCAGCAGGCGGCATCCCGGGCTTCCCCGCCGGGAAAGCGATTGGCTGGTAAAAGCGGCGCTGGACCCTTTCCCTCACCTCTGCCAAGGCCTGACAACAGTCCCTAAAAGGCCAGGCTGCGGGCCGCGAGCGCACCAATCACAGGGCGCGCGGCACCGGGCGGAGAAGGGGGGCGGGCGAGCCGGAGAAGCCCGGAGGGAGGGCGCTGGGTTCACGGGCTGCGAGGACTGAAGCAGCGGCTCCGGCTGTGAGGCTTTCCGGAGGGATGCTTAGCAATCCGGTGACCTGTCACAGGCAGAGGCTAACCCTGCCTCGGCCGCTCCGTCCACCGGCTGCTGGGAGCCACTGGCACCTGAGGGCTGGAGGCTGCTGGAAATATCTCTTACAGGCTTTGGGGTGGGCCGTTTATGACAAGCTCTAATGCTGGTGATTTGAACTGCGTTTAAGAAACCAGAATACAAACTAGCAAAGAAGCCCCAGCGGTAGCAGCCCAGCCAAGGTCAAGGCCCCAGGAGATGGCTCAGTGGCTAACGTCACGCCTCCAAGGCTGATAACCTACCTGAGTCCCACCCCTAGAACTTCATGGTCGAAGGAGGGGGAAAAAAAAAAAAAAGAACAATACACACGCACAGACACACACATTCACACACATGGCCATTTAGAGACATAACATCCTCAATTCCTTCCCTAGGGCCTACAACTCCCCTAGGCACAGCACGGAAATCCTTCCTGTGCAGCACATCTCAAACCCAGTCAGGACAGGGTGACCGCAAACGGTCTGGCCACCATTGCACCAGCGAGCATTTCTTGTCTGGTCCACCACGCTGCAGCTGGACAGACCACTGGGGCGTCTTCTCCCAGAAGCACCCTCTCCAGCCCCTCCCAGCACCATGAAAGCCAGAGCAGAATGGAGGATCAGTTAGAGATTGGTGTCCTCAGCAAGACAGACAGTCTCACCGGCTGCTTCTGCTGGCAGCAAGAGCAGCAGCTACAGCCTGTGTGGTCTCTGGGCAACCTTGTGGGTCTCTCCAGCCAGTAACCCACATGGACGGAACCTGTGTCTGCACTGAGGTTTTCACTTAATGGCCCAGGTCTTCAAGGAGCAGCTCCAGACAGTAATGTGGGGATCTTCTGTTTAAACTCCTTTAAACATATAATTTTTAAAGATTGATTGAGTGATTGACTATGCATGCAGTGTTCTGCCTGCATGTACACTTACTCACCAGAAGAGGGCACCATATCTCACTATCGATGGTCGTGAGCCACCATGTGGAATTGAACTCAGTACCTCTAGAAGAGCAGCCGGTGCTCCTAACCGCTGAGTCATCCCCCCCCCAGCTGAAGATCACATTGTTAATTAGCTTATAAATGAATGGAGTTTCCTAAGGCTACTTCATACATCCTCAGCTTAATCATTCCCTACCCTTTTCTCCACCCTTCTCTCCCTATCTCCCCCTTATTTAGTTGCCAGTGTTCACTCCACTTTTTGATATCATATATTACCTTCTTATTGCAGAGGGTCCTGGCTAAATCAGAGACACAGTACTGTTAAAAATATTGAAAACCAACAGCTTGTAGCACTCAGCCATGCACAGGACACTGTAACAGCATGGCCTGGTGTCGTATTTGGTTGGTAATTAACTTGTCCCGAGCTCTGCGTGCAGACACTCATACACCTCATAATGACATTTGTAACCTTTCCTAAGCAATTACTCCTGATTGGCTGATTAAAGGCCTACACCTGGGATGGGCAGAAATGAGGTAGACCAGGCTAAGCTGTGAGTGCTCTGAGGCCAGGAGGATCTTGGGAAGGAAAGACAGGTCCGGAAGGAGGAAGGAAGCAGAGAGCCGCCATGGGTTAGCGTGGAGAGGAGCATGGCCAGATCGGCGTGGATGGAGGGAGCAGCCCGGATGAAGAACATTAGCAGGTGTTTATGGAATTCTGGATGGGAGGCAGCCCGGATGGAAATTACTGGAGCAGATGTCATGGGATGGGGCTTGGGGTGAAATAAGGCTGTTGTAAAACCTCTCAGGGGTCTGTCTTTGCTGTCTCTAACAGCCAGTTAGAGAACACCACCGTAATAACAGAGCTAACAATAAGCATTGTTAGACCCGACCTTTAAATTAACTACTTCAGGACCTTTACATCAACCCCCCCCCCCCCGCCACACCTGGGCAACACGATAGAAGAGGAAGAGGAAGGAATGTTAAGAAGGTGGAGGGCGGCTGAGACGTGCTCTTCCTTGGACGGGGCAGGACTGTTGCACAGGTGAGCTGGCACCAGCTGTGGTTACCTGTGTAAAGCCTGCACAGAAGCAAGCCACCTAGAAGTTCCAGCATGGAGAGGGAACGGGCCCCTGAGGGCCACCGTTAGCTGAAGAGCTGCCGGTGTGGACAGCTAATGGCAGAGGAAAAGTCACCCTTCTTTACGGCTGTGGCCACTAGAAGATTTCCCATGTCCCAGGACTGACTCCACACCAAGGAATAACGGGATTCAGAGGGTTAAAAAAATAACCATAAAATGGGAGGGGCATGAGATGGGAAGTCCTGGGGGAAAGGGTTGAGTATAACCAAGATACTTTATATACATGCATAAAATTTTCAAGGAATAAATAAAATTTTAAAAAACTTAAATTAGCTTTAGACTTCAACATGCAAACTTAACTATTCCCCACTTAGGTCCTCCATGAAGACTACAAACCAATCTTAAATTTATTCATTTGTCTGTTTTCAAAGTATCTACACTGTGTGTGTACTGTTTTTACCCACACACAAAAATACTTTTTCTATCATAAAGTCCATTTATATGATCATGCTGCTTTTCTCTGAGGACCGCATTCCCGTGCTCTGTGGCTGCACTCTCACCCTGTGTTCTGTGGAGAATGCATGCCCCTGCTCTGTGGCTGCACGCCCGCGTTCTGGGCTGGGTTCTTGTGTTCTGTGAAGAATGGATGCTCTGCTCATAGAACAAAATATGTCCAACAATGGTGGCCCTCTGGCTGCCATCTGTGAGGCCTACAGGAAAAAATAATCGCTGGCTGAAGAAAGAGCTGCTCACCGGCTGGCTCTAGTCTGGGGACTTTGCCTGCCTTTGACCTGAACAACCCTACACCAGCCCCCTCAGAGTGAGGACATAGATCAGGCTCTCTTGAGCTCTGCTTCCCTCAAATTCCCAGCACCTCCTCTGCAGAGGCTATGGACGCCTCATCCTCTATGGGCTGCCATAAGGCTTGTCTCGGCACTCCACACAGCTGTTTGTTGTAGGTAGTGGTGGTGGTGGTGGTGGTTGGTTTGGTTGGTTAGTTTTGGTTTTTGAAACTGGGTTTCTCCACATAGCCCTGCTGCCCAGGATCTCTCTATGAAGACCAGACTGTCCTCAAGTTCACAGAGACCTCCTACCTCTCCATTAAAGTGCAGGGAATAAAAAGGTACACCACCATGACAAGCCTAAGACTACTCTTTTTTAAATAAGTGTAAAAATGTAGAACTAGGACTGCGAAAAGTCAAGCTGAAAGAATTCCTTAAGTGCTCCATGATATTTTTGAGCTTGAAGACAAACAGAATGGCCAGACATACCAAATAAGTCTTAAGGTCCAATGTTGCTGAAATTACTTTCTGCCTCAGAAAGCAGCTGTGTGGCCAAGCATACAGGGGTGAGCCACTTAGCAGCTGTGCTGGTCTGAATGCACACGGCCCCAGAGGCTCGTATGTTTGATTATTTGATCCTCAGCTGCTGAAAATATCTGGAAAAGATTAGGAGGTATGGCTAGCCAGGTCTGGTTCTTTCTTCTCCCCTCCCCCCACCCCCGTTTCTGGATGAGGACATAAGCCTGCCTGCATGCTCCCAAGCTCCCTGTCATGATGCTCACTAACTAACCCTTGAAACTGTAATCCCCCAATAAACTCTCTCTTCTGTAACTTGCCTTGGTGTTACGGAGTTCCTGGACCCAGGATAAAGACCTTGGGGCCATTCCAATTATAATTAAAAGACTTACTGCTAGCAGGGCAATGGTCTCTGAGCTGAACTTAAGATTGCCATGAAGAGTGAGGGAGAAATTTTTTGAGGCAAAGGAATCACAAGAAACTGCTGAGCGTCCGCACAAGGAGCCAAGGCCACATGAAGTAGTCCTTGAGCACCCGCATACGCAGGCTACAGAAGCTGAAAGCAGTCAGTCGCATCATAGCAAATACACAGCCGCAGCTCTACAGCAAATGGTCAGTGGGTTCCAAGCTGGAGGCCCAGCATAAAACAGTTTCTCTGGCCATCACAATGGCAAGAGAAAAGGCAGACACAGGCCTGTAATTCCAGCATCTTGGGAGGCGGAATAACAAGATCAAGAGCTCAAGTCCCTGGGTGGGTGGTTAGCACGTCAAGATACATCACATACAAGTACAAAACTGTCAAAGAAGATGTAAAAATGTGTTTTGTTGTTGGGGTTTTGGTTTGTTTGTTTGTTTGTCTGTTTGTTTTGAAACAGCATATCTCTATGTAGCCCTAGCTGTCCTAGAACTCACTGTACACCAGGGTGGCCTTGAACTCAGTGATCTGCCTGCCTCTGTCTCCTGAGTGCTGAGGTTAAAGGCTTGTGTCACAATGCCCAAAAAAAAAAAAAAATATTCCTTTAAAAAAAAAAAAAAAAAAAAAAAAAAGCAACTGCATTGAGGAGCCAATACCCATACTGTGTACCCTGACTTTTCCGGGAGCCTCTTTTCCTCCTAATCCCAGTGTTCGGGCCTATGTTAACATTTAAGGAAATCATCTTCTGGCTGGAGAACAGCTCGGCAGTTAAGAGCATCTCCTACTTTTTCAAGGACCAGAGTTCATTTCCCAGCACCTGTGACTCTAGCTCCAGACGGGAAGCCACAGCACGGCGGCTGCATGCACACACACACAGTTAAACTTGAGTCTTGTTGGAGGTGGCGGCACACCCTTGGTCCCAGCACTCGGGGGACAGAGGCGTCTGTGAGCTCAATGGTTCCAGGCAGCAGAGTAAACAAAATGGGGCTGGAGAGGCGGCTCAGGGGCTAAGGGCACTGGCTGCTCTTGCAGAAGATCTGAATGGAAATTCCAGGCCTCTCATGACTGCTAGCAACTGTCTTTAACTCCACTCCCAGAGGAGCCAGCTCCTTCTTCTGGCCTTTAGGCACTGCCTGCATGCGGGTAGACACACAACAAAGGAGTGCCCACGCATGCGCACAAGTAAAACGACTGTACACATAAAAATAATCTTCAAAAACTTTTTTCTAAGTTTTATTTATTACTTATACAACATTCTGCCTGCACACCAGATCTTACT